TGGCAAGGGTATGGCAGGGTTGTGTAGGATGGCAAAAGTATGGCAGGGTTGTGTAGGATGGCAAAAATATGGCAGGGTTGTGCAGGATGGCAAAGGGTGTGGTAGGGTTGTGTAGGATGGCAATAGCTATGGCAGGGTTGTTAAGGGAGGCAAAAGGTATGGCAGGGTTGTGCAGGATGGCAGATAGCATGGCACGGTTGTGTAGGACGACAAAGGGTATGGCAGGGTTTTGTAAGTTGGCAAAAGGTATACATTGTACCCGAGTTTTGATGAGTTTGAGTTATTTGAAGTTTCTATACATTTCTGATTTATGAACTATTTTCAGTAAGTAATTTAAAAGAAACAGCCCTTCTTCTTAATTAATTATTATCTTATTTACTAATTCTAACAACATCATTCAACAACACAATATATATATCAAGCACGCATAATTAACACATCAGACTTAGTGTGAGTAAATTAATTTTCTCGGCAGACATATCACTTTCAACTATGCTACCATTTTAGCACAGTTCACAGCATGGTTCCTTGATCCCACAAGAATCATAACCACAGTACAACGATAGAAAACAACCACTAACACAGACACAGACATGAATCACAGTCAGATAAATCACCCTTACATGGGCTGCATTTTAACATTTTATAACAAATCCATATATATTATGTGTGGTGTTTTTTTATGCATTTTGTGAATTACCAGTAGCAGCATTCTGAAAATCTGGATTGTAACTTGGAAAGCATTTAACAAATTTTATGATCACCTTATTAATTGGTTTATCTACATTTTTCATATGTTGGTTGCCCTTTTTAATCAGACCTTCAAATTTGTTCAAATATATTCATCAAAATTCTTGAATCTCATCACACTTGATTGTGTAAACAAAACAGTTTCTATTTTTGAAATTAATTTTGATACTTGAAATGCAAGCCTCAGAGTTTTTACTGGCATAGCCACTTGAAAGTACTAATAACCTATTTTATTATCATTCCTGGTTAACATTCATTTATTCTTAATAGCCATAAGCTGGTAATTAATTTATGCATGTTGGAATCTTAGGCTTGTACGCATGTAGTAGTAGGGGGAGAGCAAACAATTGTAAAAAAACTGTACCACCAAATTTCAAGGCTATGTCATAGTAAGGTAAGAAGACAAACATTCTGGGTTATCATTTTCCAAATAGATAGTTACCTCACCAACTGATTGTGCATCACACACCGATTTAGAAATGAAAAACAATCAGCCAACAGGCTGATCATTCATACTAAATGAACTAATCTGACAGAGAAATGAAATCGCAATCTGCAGTGGTTTTCGAAAAGACGCCAGAAATAATTTGTTTTATCCACAAATGACAAAAATATTCCCCAAAATTAAGAGAACTAAAGTTTGTTTTATCAGTACAATTTTTTCCTAAAAATGAACAAATCTGACTGAGGTCCACCTAAAAAGTCTACATTATAAAATATCAAAATAATTTGGATAGCCATTTTCAAGAAGAAGTCGAAAACAGCATTTTTTTTTACCAAAAATCTTCACTAAAATAGACTATTGAAGATAATGTCACGAAATGAACCAATCTGAGAGAGAACCAATCAAGGTATGAAATCCATACAGTTGAACATTTTTAAAAAGTTGAAAATATAAAGTTGATGATGACAAACGACAATCAGTAAATCATGAATAGCTCTGCTCGACTTTGCCGACAATAGAGATAAAAAGTTAACTGCGAGATCGAAAGAGTGACCTTTCACATTAAAAATATCATCCCACAGTTTATAAGACCAACAACCTGCAGGTTATTTTCAGTCACCAATCTCACTCAGAATTTCTTCAATTTGACCTCAAGTTACACCATAATAGAAATTTATGCTCCAGCTGTCTCCGTTTTTTTGTTAACGCTATCTGAACTGAACTGATATCAGGGTTTCTGTGCCGCAGTACAGGGTGAGCTGCCACCTCTTTTGAGAAATAAAAAAAAGTAACATTACATTATCATGAAAATGAAAATGAAATCCTGAATGTCAAAAAATGTTTTAAAAAAGAAGGTGGAAACCAAAAATGAACTGTGTGATAAGAACCATGAAATAGAACAGCGCCCTCTTTTGACAAAATCATGTCCAGTGTCACCTGCTACAACAGCTGGATACGAAAGGAATAGAAAATAAAACTCACACTGTCCTCCCAACAGAGTAGGGAATGCACAAATATCTCACGTGATTAACCTGTGGCTTTCCATCTAAAAATAACAAAAGCTCAGATTTCGTTTGATTGAAAGCCTAGAGATATTTCTTAATTCACTCGGTAAGTAAACCACGAAGACATAATCAGTTTAATTTATATGAAAGACTGGCAAGGAATAGCAGGATATCAATTCACTAGAATTCAAATTCTGAACGGCCTCAACAATAATTGCATATCAGTTTCTGCTTTAACGATTCAGCAGAAATTAATGTCCTTCAAGTCACATTTTAATTGTCAAAATTAAAATGATTATTACAAACAAGTACTTTGGTCATTTTAACGACAACCTTTAAAAGTTTATCTTCAAGTCTGCAGCATTGACAGTAAATAATGATGTAACTGCTACTATTTGGAACGAGTTGCATTCTACTGAATGACACATATTTTAATGTGCTGGCAACATCAACTGAAACAAATTTAATTAATTGCAGTGTCTGTTTTTCCAGGGCTGCTTTATTCTCAAAATTTATTTATTTCTTCACAAAATCTTTGAAGATTTCAATTTCAAGTAGTTAATAAATATTAACAAACGATGTATAAATCATTATATTGTTGTAACACCACTGAATGCATGCGATACAAAAATGGTATGACAAAAAAAAACCTGAGAGTGTGTGTGACGATGCAAAGGAGGGCAAGCGAAAAATGATATCTTTACTTCTGTAGCATATTATAGCAGATTGGGCAGGTCAGGACGTGTCAGGTGCATTCAAACTCACCTGGTGTTATATCATCGACCCGAGGTGAGATACCCTCTTCCATCCCTCCCATGACGGAGAAGCCAAACCTATTGTCTGCTCCCTCCATAGTGATGGTTGTCTCCAGCACCACAACCTACAAAGATAAGAATGACATTCGTGTTAAAGCTCCGCAGTGACATCCACCGCTTGACAGGCAAATACACATGCCGTTTTAATATCACACTTACTTGTACTATCCCAGTCAACACTTTGGGTTCTCGTTTTGACAAGATTGCAGCTTTCATGGATTTGCCTTTATGCATTGTTACAACATATATAAACACAGACAGACAGCTGATAGCAACAACAGACATGGGACATTGCAACACGGAAATCCACATGAATGACATGCAGAGAAGCAAGATATCACACACTTGACTCAACTCAAGAGGGCGGTCTACACTTAATTAGACATTCAGATCATGCGACTGGCGTGGGCATGTTTGTTGCGAGTACAGTATTAAAGCACAATGATTTTAATAACACCAAAACAATTCCTTAGATTAAATAAATGTTCCAGTATGTTGTTTCAATTTACTTTATACCAACAGTTAAAAGCTTAGTATAATAGACAAATAGAAAAAGCTTTGCTAAGCTCTGTGGAATTACTTTCAATTCACTAACAGTTCTCTTTATGTTAAAGTTAACTATAAGGTTTGTGGCTTTAACGAGGCAATAAGAATCAACTTCAACCGAACAGTCGGTTACCGAACACAGACAATTTGGCAATTATGACTTATTTTAAATACTAATAAACATTCAACTATCAGTATACATTAAACAGAAAAATCTTAGCATATTGCAGAATTAAAATCAAATTAAAGGCTACAATTGCTGTTAATGTTACTTGTTAATACTTAAGAAATAGAAATGCATAAGACTAAGCCTGCTAGCAACATAGGAATATGGGCAAGGGGTCAAGTTTACAAAATCGCTTGAATAAAGTCAGTGTTTTATCTTATTAGTTTGTCATTTCATAGGAATGAACCAACAACAATAAGTTTTTTTTTATGGTAAATTGTAATAGTAATATGTAGACTGTTAATATTGTTGCCATAAATTAGATATTATTTTCTTTTGAAATATCAGAGTTCACTAGTACAGAAACAATATTAGGAGTTGTAATTATTTTTTTAACGATATTGATTGGGTTATTTGCATATCAACACATGCTACTGACAAAGAAGGGATAAAATATTAAATATTACAATGTAAAAAAATAAATTTACCACTCGCAGGAAAAATAAAAAAAAGTCTTACCATATCCTCAGGATCTCCATTGTAGTATTGATAGCTGTCACCACCTGCCATCATGTCTTTACCCGAAGTTACAATAGGCCCATTCATTGGTCCATTCCCAAGCTGACTCACGTCAACATCTCCGTTCATGATATTATTACTTGTGATATTATTATACCAATAATGCTTAATAGATGTACAATATCTTGGGACCAAAAATGAGCAGTCAATGCTACATTACCATCCTATGAATTCAACAAAAAATTAATTTATTATTAAGTGACATGATTTTTTTTTCTTCAAAAATCGAGCCTTTGTTCCCTGAAGTCAATAACAAAATTTACCACACCTATGCTAAATTTATGAGGTCATCCATGTATAGTCAATAGATACATCGCTTGGCAGGAATTTTAACAATGCATCAGTTACAAAGGTCAAACAGGGATTGCGTTAACCTCATATTTTGCTTCCCGGACTCCAATTATTGAAGAGGGACCCAGTTTTTCAGGCAAGCTGGGGTCCAATCTCTAATAAAGTTATTCAGGGTCAAATTTCAATTTCTTAAACTTTTGTAAGTGGGACTCGTCTTGCCGAGACACTAGCGCAAACCCTGTCAAAGGTCAATTTTGACTTAAATGTGGTGCTGTGGGTCACGGCACCTTCAATAACCTAATATATAAAATAACTTATATAACTCTAACCACAAGATAAGGCAATTGTTACATTTTTTATTTATTTATTTCAGTTTGATTTCAAACATGCCAGGTTATAATTGAATATTCCGAGACAAGTCACATGACACACGTACAAAATCAAACGTTGATTACAAAAGCCAAAAGAAGATACATAATAAAACATGACACACCAAGAAATGTTACATGTTACATCATTTTATTCTCTTCAATGTTTGCCTGAGTTGCCTGTTCTTTGTATTCTCTAGTGTCTTTGGTTTAATCAGATTTGGCTGCATCATCTAGATGAATTAACTTATTCATCCTTTCAATATGTTTTGTACATAGTTTTAGTACCTGGCTTAATATATGGATAGTAAATTCAAAAGCAGCCAAACATGATACTGTTAATTGTAAATATATTACTTTATTAATACAGGATTGAGTATCATGAGTATACAATATTACTACCAGTCACTGTAGGTAAATTACATACTGTAAGTCAATATTGTTGTTTCCAAATTTTCACATTTTTATGGCGTTCATGAGGGAAACATTTTGCGATATTCACTGCGACCCCGTGGCTTCAGACCCCGTGGCTTCATGACTCCTAATAAATTTAATGATATTTACTGATTCACAAAAATTTCCCCCATAAAATAGTATGTCCCAGTAAGGGCACTACAATGAATCCATTAACCCAACAATAACAGCTTATTCATATGCAAATTAGTTATTAGTATATTCTATATTAAAAAATTAATACGAAGGGATTACACTGTAAACTTGACCTAATAAAAAAACGTATATTTCAACAGCAGTGACAGAAATAACTTCAATTTATAAGAATTCTCGCTTTTCAAATATGACGTTCCCACAAACAAATTAGTTTCAAACAGCAATCACCTGACCTAACCTTATAATATAATATATCAAGGTTTTAGAAATTCCACTTGTTGCTATGGAAACATCAGTACTGACTGATTACAGGCAACAATTCAGAGCAATAAAGTACCGTGGTATGTGCAAAATACAACAGGAAATCTGAATTTCTAGGACAACCATATGGAATTAATATAGGCTACTGGTTGAAAATGACCTTTAAAAAAAAAGCCCACACAAGATATCAGTATTTATACATGATGTATGGTTGTATGTAATAATCTATAAGACATCAATTATAAAATATAAAAAAAAACACAGTAAATCTATTAAAAACTTTAGCAGCTCTAAGTTGAAATGGATCACATATGGTTTCTATGGTGAGCCGGGTCAACAGACACAGAATTGAAATTTAATTCATGGCTTAGTTTACACAGAGCCTGTCAATACTTAACTGTCTTCCATAAAACCATATGTTGCGTGTATTCACAACAATTACGCATTGTAACAAACCTATTTTCACAATTCAACCATTTACAGAGGAATCTCAGTTCAGGGTCTCATGAAAATTTAAATGAACAGTTTCAAGGATATGCCAGACAAAGCCAGACATTCTGAAAAGCATTTTGAAAATTAAATGTTACTAAAGGCGAAATATCAGGAGACCCGCCTACATATTCCCTGTACAAATCTCCCACACATTATAGCTAATAGCATGTGTTGATGCAGCAATATACCTGTACACAGAGTAACTACTGTAAGCCGTTTGATTTGATTTCAAGATTTTATGGTATTCGTGAAGTCAAAATTTTGTTTTGCTGAACTTCCAGGAAATTTCCACTGCTGCAAACTTTCACAGTTTTCACTGACTAGTGAAATTCACAAAAATTAGTCTCATGCAAAACTAAAACTGCATACAGTATCAAATGTACTGCACAAAAATCAAAAAGTTCACAAACTGTTTCCATAGTTGGAAGGAGAGAAAAATTTCAATTGTGAATGGTTAACGATACGATCCTATCATTGTTGTTGTCTTAGACCCAGACATAATGTCTGTGAACTCTGTGATATCTTGCATTTGTATACGACAATACACGTACATACGCGTCAGCATTATGTATCAGTAGTTAATGAACACACAATCCAACACAGACACACCCTTCGTCGGACTAAAATACAGTTCTGACAGATAATTCTAAATTTAACTAATGTTTAATATTCAACTATACTAATATTATCACAGGTGTTTACAAAGTATGAATGAGCATTGTGAAATTCCACAAATCAATAATCTTTTATTGGAAGCGATCAAGCTGTTACCTTGATATGCAACATTGGATGAAGCATGCACTTACAGAGTATTTTGTTATTGTACAAGTTCAACAATGCTATTTATGTATGTCCACGAATATGTGACATTACACTATAGTAATCCATGTACATAAAAAGTCGGCATTCAAACCAACAATAGAATGAACTGTAATTCACAAAAAAACCATTACAATTGCATCAAATGAACCCTGACCAAAATGATGTAGCACGTAATCTCACTTGGGTATTTTTATCTGTTTTTCTCAACTGATCAGACATTATTTAAAGTTGATTACAAAGATCTACTCTTTCGATATTCCTTGTTCGTCAATACAGTTGCCTAATGCGCCACATTGTTGCACAAAATAGCTGGGGTGCTATTTCCTCTCCTGGGATGAACATGTAGGAAGTTGATGATAGAAACGTTTTTTGTTAGCCAGAGAATGTTTACTTTGTACATTACAACGAAAATATAGGCAGTCGTCATTGTGTTAAAAAACACCTGGCTTACAAGTAGACCTGGCAATTATTTAAATATGAATGAATTGCAAGTACGTGAATCATAACAGAATAATTTTTAAATGATTTACCACGATCAATTTTTTTCTATTTTTTAATGGTAGCGAAGTACCTAATGATACTTGCAGGGAAACTGAAACAACTCGCCCCTCAGAGAAGCACAGTGTGAGACTTGGCAAGCATTCACAAACCTGTATCCGGTCAACATGTGGTTTAGGATATATCGGTTTCTCAAAGCATTGCCTATCAAATTTACATTCACGTTGAGTCAAACCATAAGCAGTGGTTTGAACATTGAATGAAGACATACTGCACTGTAATATATCATCTACATTATTAAGTTGGATGAGACTACAACTCCGATGGAATGTCTTAAATTGGACAAATGCATCACGCAAGTCCATCATTAGCTCCAGACTTCAAACTAGATCAGACTTACAAACATGTACCACCAGTATATATCGAGTTGACAGATATCAAATACCGTAAGTACACTGAATTTTGAATAGAATAAATTCATTATTCAAAATGCAACTTGCTTAGATGCGATTTATTTTTATAATTCTTTGAATTCAACAGGTATATCACTATAATGAAACGGTTAAAGCAAACCAAGAGTGGATGAAAATATAAGGGTCTGCCAATTTCATAACTATGAATGGTAAAATGCAATGAACATTTCTTTGAAATAATATATGCAATTTATATTTCATGCATGCGACAATCAAACTTGTTTTGACCAAGATGATGTGAAATTTCATTATCATTGTAGCCATGGAAACATTAGGGAAACAGTGATGATCAACATTATAGGACAGGCAATTATATTCAAGAAAGCAAAACATGAAGCAACAGTATACATGTTCTATGAATACACATGAACGAAACAACCCATGGCAATATTTTTAGAAATTATTTGTTGTAATTAGAGAAATCTTATTCCAACATACATGTAATCCTGATATTGAATTTAGAGGTATTTCTTAAAATAAAGAAAAGTGATCCAAGTGATTACAAAAATGCAAACTACATGTATGTTTGATTTGGTATTGAACAAAACTTTCAGTGATAGCAAGAGTCACTTCTCCAATATTTCAGGATTTGTAGACAAACAAACTGATTTTATCATAATTCTCATGCTAATCACAATAACCAGTGTGAATTTGCAAATCATACAAAGTATGAATTCAACTTTAATAGGCATAATCCTAAATGTATCAAGTGAAGCAAATACATTTCTATGATAAATTGATATGGTAATGAATTTTGACAAGGCAAGAGAGGCAGGAGTATGAAACCATCTGTACTGGAGGTCATTGAGTTTATCTAATTAATAAATGATAGCTTTCATTCAGAGTTCATGCAGGAGAGGAACTTATATATGCAGGCCCTGTGTTACTATGACGATGAATAAACTAAATACACCTCAAGATCAATTCCAATGTACTGTTCATGAAACGTGTTTGAAATATATTTACTGCATTTATTGTACAGTGAGCTAAACTGAGGAACAAAGAAAACCTGACATGGAGGTCCAGACATGTTATTGCAAACTATTCCATTGAATTGTCAACTACATGTAATTTGTTGTTTTCAGCCAAATACACGATTATAATGCAAGTTCATGTTACATTTTTCTTCAATAGCCAGTAGTTTTGTACCAATACACAGTCTATATAGCTGTGTCAGTAAAACATGCTAAGAATCAAGCGAGTAGGACTCAGTAGTTCAAAATATCACGACAGTACATCAGTATGTTATAAAGCT